TCATACAACAAAGAGAAAATAGAAGGAGATTAAATAGTGAACCCTAAGAACCTAGAGAAGTAACTAATATGGTACGAAAAATATTATCACAAAGGGTTGTATGTAGGGAAATGATCCGGATGAATCCACCGGTTTTTCATCAATTATGTGGAATATTAGAGAGAGATGACGGGCTTAAACGAACTCAAAGAGTTACTATTGAGAAACAAGTTGTAAAATTTTTGCATATGTTGGGACACAATGTAACTACTCGTGAGGTTAATAAGATATTTGGACGATCTGGAGAGAGTGTGAGTCGTCATTTTCATAATGTTTTAAGAGCTATGATAGAGTTGGAAGAGTTATTTTTAGTGCAACCCAATGGAGCACAAATTCCTCCAAAGATACTCAACAATATCCAAAGTTTGATCCATATTTCAAGGTGATGATAAAATTCAAAAATTCTTATCTTTGCATAGGTTGTTAAAATTAGAATTTAACTAATTACTCACTATATTGTCAAAGAAGCAATTGACAAAGAAGACTTTTATGCGGCTACAATGGAGACTAGGTCAACAGCAAATTCACTGAAGAAGAGCAGAAAGTCAAGGGAGGATGCTGGTGTTGAAAAAATTTATAATGGCATAGAAAAAATGGCTCAAGCAATGCTTGCAAGTGCTGAGTTGTTCAACAAGGCTCGGGAAAAGACTATAATTAAAGCAGATGATCTTTGGAGTCTTTTGGTTGAGATTGGGGTCGACAACGAACACATTGATGATGCGTATATATTCTTACTTAATTCTCCAGAAAATCTAAGGGGAGTACTTGGATGTCCAAGGGAGAGGCAGAAGCAAATACTCGTGAGGATGATGCAAAGGGCATCTGCGCCACCCCCGCCTCATTATTAGCTTCCTACCTACTCATCTTTAATATTTTGGTTTTCCACTTTTGATAGATGCTTTTGGGTATTTGGTGGCAATTATGGCTTCTTATCATATTTTTGTATTGTATGGCAATTACAAACTTGTTGTCGAATTATGGATGCTTATGGCAAACTTGGAATATTAGATGGCTATTGTAACTTTTTGTCACTTCTTGGTTATTGTCTGGCGATTACAAACTTGTTGCCAATTTATGAATGCCTATGGCAAACTTAGAAAATTGGTTGGAGAATTGTTGTTTATGTTTTGGTAAGATATGTAGTGTATTTTGTCAATTTTAGTTGTGTGTATTGATTTGATAAGATTATGTGTTATTAGTATAAGATCATTTGTGTAACTTTACATATATTTTCTTCCCTTCCCTTCCCCCATTATTACTCCTCAACAAGCTATATTAATTTCACCTTCATCCACCTTACTTAACTCCCAAACAACATATTACAATTCACTTTCCTTCCTTTTCCTTTCCCTTTCCTTGTTTACCTTTCCATCCCTTCCCTCAGTGAACTCCCAAACATAGCATATGTGATAGTAGGGACAGATGACTAGAAAGAAAGGAAAAAAAAAGATAACATACCTACCATCTTTACCGAAGTTAAGCTCCTGGAAAACAAAAGAGAAAAAAAATCAGGAAAAACTAAAAAAAAAATTCTCCTATATAAATTTAAAGATAGTCAAAGGGCATATTGCAAAAATATAAGTTAACAAATATACTAAAAAAATCAACCAAGAAAATCCATCAATTTTCCTCCAAAAAGAAAAATACCCATATGAAATTATGATTCAAAGTGACTTGATTCTATCGACTATCTCCATTAGATCACTGCAAAGAAGGGGTATGGAGGGCTCCATTATGAATCAGGCAGTGGCGGTGAGGACGGTGGGGTCTGTAGGCATCGAAAATTGCCTATAGGTCTCCACGAACGGTTCAGTGTTAAAGAGGGACGATGAACGTCACTATCCGATCCACAGGAGTTCGATTGACGTCGATGAACGATTGAAGTGAATCGACGAACTACGTGAGCTGATAGGATTTCGGGATAACAAAGGCACGGGCTAATCGAGAGCCCCGCGATGTTACAAAAAGAACAACGCCCTTCGTGTCTCGTTCATTTTACAGATAATCCAACTACCGGAGCGGATCGAACTCTTCGTCAAGCTTCCAACGCACTTGGAATCACTCAAATCCGAGTTCGAACGAAGAATTTACGGCGAAAACAATCAAATGCACCTCAACGGACGTCTCAGGAATTCCAAAACACCCCCAGAGGTGTCTCAGAAATTCCGAGACACCCCAGGGGTGTCTCGGAATTTCCGAGACACCCCAAGGTGTCTCGAAAATTTCCGAGACACCCTAGGGGTGTCTCGGAAATTCCGAGACACCCAAAGGGTGTCTAGGCACCCTAGGTGCCCCCATTGCCTATAAATAGCAACCTAAGGCATCATTTTTGGAAGATCTGGATTTTTGGAGAGTTGGCGAAGCCCTGCTGCAGTGAAGAGTGGTCGAGCGCTTCAACACAGGAGAGGTCTTCATCACCCGTGTCCGTTCCTTAGTATTACCCTTCGCCGGTAATCCTAAGAAGAGCAAATATCTCGTTTTAGCCGAGATAGGCGCTTCGAGCTTCTAGATCTCTTCGCGGATCGACGAAGCTCTGTCCGATTTTTCGGGAGCAGATCTGATTGCCAGGTAGTCCACGGATATCAACGTCCCCGTCACAGGCCAAAGACCCACACAAGCAAGAGACGATAAACGGATCTTGCGTTTATTTTCGAAAAGTTGTAATTTTTTATTTTCGTTATTTGAATTTCATTTGTAACGCTTAAAGTTTTAATGAAATCAATGATGAAGGCAACTTTTAACGAAAACAGGGTCCAACCGAAACGGGACTGCATGTCGTGGGGGCGGAGATAAAAGTAAGGGTGATGATGTTGAAGGCGGCGGAGCGATGGTGAAGATGGAGGAGCCGACATCGCCGAAGATAGGAATAGGAATTAATATAGAGATTTTTTATTTAGAAAAGTAATAATTAAATAATAAAAAAATGCCATGTGGTGTTTCCAATGGTAAGATATTTTAGTATAAGGGGCTGTTTGGTTGTTTTTCGAAAAAATCGGAAATGGAAAACTCACATTCCAACTCATTTCAAGAGATTTCAAGACATTTCCTGCATTTTTTTTTTCACAATGAAATCACCGTCACGTCACATAAGAAACAAATCCAGCCGCAATAATAACAATGTTTCGATTTCCATTTCTTGTGTTTGTTTGAACATGAAAAAAGAAATGGAAATCAGCCGTAATAGTAACAGTGTTTTCAACAATTAAATAATATGTTTTATTCACGGTCACTGTTTCAACAGTGCTTTTAGTAATTAAAAATTCATTGAAGTGACATTTTTCAAGTGTTTTCAGAGGTTTTTGGTATAAAAATACTTTTCTCAAAAATCTGACGTGGCACCCTACGTGACACTCTCATTTCTTTAAATCACGAAACGAAATAAACATGTGATTTGAAAATTGGTTGAAACCAAAATCCTATGTGGCAGAGGGGATTTCTTAAAATCTGACGTGACGGGTTTTTTTTATTTTTTATTAGCAAATAAACAGCCCCTAAGTATATAGATAGATTGATTGATTTTTTTTTATTTTAAGAAAATAATTAAAAAAAAGGAAACTGCCAAGTGCCAGATGCAATGGTTAAAGATTTAATATAAGATATATATTTTATAGCAGTAAAAATCAACTTAAACCTTAATACAAGTAATAAGACCTCATGATAAGGAGCCATAATACAAGTATTAAGACGTCAACATAAGGATAAGATGATACGGTTAAATCTCATGTTGGGTCATTTTGCATTTAACCTCGTAGACAATTTAAATCTCGTACTGAACTCATGTAAATTTTAGAAAATTCAAAAAGATTTCAATATGTTTAAATATTTTCACTTAACCCTTAATAACTATTTTATAATTTTTGTATCATATTCTTTTTTTTGGAGCTCAAAATATGTGCCAACACTGTTATAATGGTTACCTGTCAAACGCTCAAATTTATTGAGAGATCAGTGAAACTACTTTAAATAAGATTAAATATTAGAAAGCCCACTTAACTTTGGGTGATTATTAGATTACCTCCTTAAATTTAAAGAATATCATAAAACATCCATTAAGCTTAGGGGTCATTAGAAAAACCCCTTAACTGAATTTTTATTAGAAAAAAACCTAAAAGTGATGCTTTTTAGGGTTTTTTTTGTTAAGATATCAAAGTTAAAGGGGTTTTTAATATAAAAACTCAAAATTAAAAAGAAGGTTTTTTGATGACCCCTATAGTTTTAGGAGTGTTTTCTTCTGATATTTAAATCTTAAAGCCATAGTATAGAAAAATATGCAGCACACTTGCCCCCCACTCTTTGCAAGCTGTACCAATAATTTCAAGAGCAGCAGTAAAAACCCAAAAAAGGGAGAAAAATCAGAAATAGGAAATTCTAGAATATCTGTGGTCTGATTCACGCAATTTGAAAAGGAAAAATTCTGAAAATAGACCACATTTGCTAAATATTTAGCAAAATCGACCATTTTACTAAATATTTAGCAAAATCGATCTTTTTTGGACCTGTTGGCCAAAAAGAGGTCGATTTTCAAAAAAGTGGCCTGAAAACATACGGGACTACTAGTCCCGTATGTTTTCAACACAGTAATTACAGATTAGAAAACATACGGGACTACTAGTCCCGCATGTTTTCTGTCATGGTTTTGGTGGCTCACGAAAAACCATTTTCTAATCTGTAATTAGTAGTCCCGTACATTTTCGTGAGCCACCAAAACTATGACAGAAAACATACGGGACTAGTAGTCCCGTATGTTTTCTAATCTGTAATTAGTATGTTGAAAACATACGGGACTAGTAGTCCCATATGTTTTCAGGCCACTTATCTGAAAATCGATCTCTTTTTGGCCTGTTGGCTAAAAAGAGGTCGATTTTGTTAAATATTTAGCAAAATGATCGATTTTGCTAAATATTTAACAAATGTAGTCTATTTTCAGAATTTTTCCATTTGAAAAAAAAGTCTTCCTTTTCACACTTAATTAAGACAATATTAGTAGTCGTGTACGAGAACAGTTGAGGAGAATCAATGCCCACAAAAAATTCCAGTTCCCATTTGCCTACAAAATCCAGAGCTCCAGGGCTCAATCGGATCAACGGCTGGTTCTTTTCTATTTTGTTTCTGGGTTTTGGTTTCTTGTTCTTCTTCTTCTTCAAGAACCCAACTCAATCTCTTAAGGAAATGGCTGAAGGGGTGCCCAAATCTATTTATGATATCACTGTTAAGGTAATGGGTTTTCCTATGATTTTTGATGTGATTTTGTTTCTGGGTTTTTCTTAATCTTTGAGTTTAGCTAATTTGTTCTTATGGGTTTTGCTGTTTGGGGGCTGCTGTTGTTTATTTTGATGTTTAATGGGGTTTGATTCAGTTTTAGTCTAATTATTTTTTTGGCATCGATTGGTTTATTGGCTAGTTTCATAGTTTGTAATTTTGCTTTCAATTTTGCGATGTTAGCTATTTTGGTATGATGAACTATTGTTACCAGATATTATTTGTTTTCCCACTTCTTTTTATTTCATTTTTATGCCTATATATATGTCTTCAATTTATAACTATTGTAGCCTTTGGTGACTTCGTTGGATCAAGTGGAATTTTTTATTGATTAAAATGAAAACTGGCTGATTCTTTCATTTGGAAAAATATTGCTGGATTCTATTATTGTAAATATTATAAGAGTTTCAATTATGTTCCACTGTTATCCTGTTTCTTCACTATTTGATGGAATCATATCACAGGATATAAATGGCAACGACGTGAGCCTGAGCGCCTACAAGGGGAAGGTTCTTCTTATTGTGAATGTTGCTTCCCAATGGTAATTACTTCATTTTGAAGTTTATGCGTCGAAGTTCGCTTCTTTTGTTTAAGAAAGGACTTGTATCCTTCATTGTTGATCTTAAAATACGAGTAGAACAGTTGGCTAGGCCATTCATCAAGTTCTACAGTTGTATAATGTTCTGGTTGTCTTTGTATACAAGTAATTTTAGATTGTGACTTGTCTCTTAAATTTCTTTTAATTATTGACACACGGTCAAATAATTCTGCCTTTTACCAACGAAATCCCCCCCTCGATTGAAGTTTGCATAATAGTTACTATAATTTATATGAAGAAATGTACCTGTAGATTGCTTCATGTAATCATCATTTCTCAACTTGACAAGCTACCCTTTGGGATGTTGCAGTGGAAAAAAAAAGAGAAAGACAATATGCCAACAAGTTTCAAATAAATTTATCATTGATAAAGATCTTTTATTTGCATGGACAATCTCCACAAATCGCATTCAATAACAGAAGATAGCCGAAGTATAGTAACATTGACATCAAAACTATTAGAATTTGCTATGTGGACAACAGGGCCTAGCCAATGTGAAAAATCTTAGACTCCACTTTCTAATACTAAATTTCTTCAAATGCAGTGGACTAACTCATGCCAACTACAAGGAAATGAATGTTCTGTATGAGAAGTACAAGGATAAAGGTTTGCTAGTATTCATTTCATTATGCTGTTTTTCTATCACTACATTTATATTACTTAGCTTAAAAAGGAGTTGATGGGATATAATTTTTTATTTTTGTTTATCTGTTAGGGCTTGAGATATTGGCATTTCCTTGCAATCAATTTTTGAGCCAAGAGCCAGGAAGTAACAAGGAAATTCAGGAGGTTGCTTGCACAAGGTTCAAAGCGGAGTTCCCCATATTTGATAAGGTGATCAGAGAAAAATGTAATGTTTCTTTTTTGTTATTGATCTTGAAGTTAATACAATAAAAGGACAAATGAAAGAAGGAAAACCCCCAGATGAAAAACACATCCATACATTTCACTAATTCGTTAATGCAAAACAGTCATGATCTAGCGCCTTCTTCAGAAATAGGCTGCATTTTCTGAGCTGATGTTGTTAGCCTGTTAGTAAAGATTCACAAAATAAAATTTTTCATTTAATTCTATAGATTTTAAACTTTATGCATAAAAGAAAATTTAAAAAAAGCCAGTAAGGACACATTTTATTTTAAATTCTTTTTGCACCTCAAGTTTGTTGCATGAGTCACTCATGTAATTCTTGAACTGATTTGTTGATTAATATTAGCATATGTCTGAGCTGTTTTTGGTTGTATGGCTTAAGACTATTTTGAGAAGGGTAAAATAGATAAACTGGGCAAATTATTATAATTATTTCGAGATGGGCCAATTCTTGTGCTTCTCGACCATTGTTGACTGAACTTATTATTTGTTTCTTCTTATTCTCTTATCGAGATAATCCTGAATCTTGCTATGTTTTTTAATTTATTTCTTTTTACCCTATTATTTCTACTTATGTTTACAAGTCCTCCTTTTTCTATCTTCTTGTTGCAGGAAGGGATCCTGTGTTTCACTTAAATAATTCCTAAATGTCACCACTGTTATCTCCTTCAGTGTTAGCTATGCAACATCTTGGCATTCATGACTTGTTTTAAACTCTATACACCATTCCTAGATGTAGCGGAGAAGATCAAGCATATGTCAAAAATTTTTTGATTTACTAATTTGTGAGTGCAAGCTCCTATTGGCCGAAGTACAACACATAATTGCATGTTTGTTTGTCTTTATACTGTTTCTTTCTGTTAGTAACATGTATCTCTTGGACATCTCGGATATGAGGCTGGTCCTGGTTGATCATAATGTCATATAGTATCTATAATTCTATATATGAGAAATTGCATGAACCAGTTGAACATTTTTATTTCATTGCTTCTATATGTCTATATTATTCCTATTCTCAACAGAAAAATATTTATTAGGGCCATCACTCCTTTGGAATGAGGTTATGAGAGAACTGTTACAAGTTTTACTAATGGGCATGTGAGGAATTGGTGTAGAGTTATTGAAATGAAGGATTTTCCTAATTAATTTTGCACTAGAACGTCCACCTCTAAAATTATGGGGGGTGAGGTGAGGGCATGTTCGCTTCAATCTCAAGAAAAGCAAATGTTCGTACCAAATAAGATAATCATCTTTCTTGTTATTTCTATGAGATGACCATGATAATTATAGAATGACATTTTGATTGTGATATTTGGGTGACACCTATGGCCAAGCGTAACTTGTAGATAGTTGTTATTGTTACAAATTTATTCTTGTCTGTAAATCATTATCTTTCATCAGGAAAGATAATTCAAATAAAATCCAATAAAGGTTGCAAAGATGTTCTGAATATGAATATCTTCAAACTAACTAGATCTGGTTTTCGATGGGTAGCGTGTTTGGAAAAAGAAAATACAGTGTTAATTTTCACACGACAGGATTATTAGCTTTAAATTTTGGCTTAGTTATAGATCTCCCTTCAGGATTATTAGCTTTAAATTTTGGCTTAGTTATAGATCTCCCTTGCACTTAGCAAATATACAACAGAAATTTTCACTATGTTGCCTAATTTTGGCTTAGTTATAGATCTCCCTTGCACTTAGCAAATATACAACAGAAATTTTCACTATGTTGCCTTTGTTCTAGAAGAAAATTTCATGTAACTATATATGACTGACTCATTGTTTTTCGTAGGTTGAAGTGAATGGAAAGGAGGCTACTACTCTTTATAAGTTCTTGAAATCAAAGAAAGGGGGTTTTTTTGGCGATGGTATCAAGTGGAATTTCACTAAGTTCCTTGTGGACAAAGATGGAAAAGTTGTGGAAAGATATGCACCGACCACCTCACCTTTGAAAATAGAGGTACTACTTTGACAGTATACTGTATAATTTTGCTTTACTTTTATTTGTACTTATTATTGCCACTATACTTTTATCTTCCAGAAAACAATACAGAGCCTTTTGGGGGTTGCATGAATTTAAGTGCATTCTTTGAGGGACTATATTGCCGATAATGCGAGTACGTGATCTTATGTATGAATAAGGGGATGTTTCTTCTAGAAAACTTGTATATTGCTGGAAATTCATTAGCTTCTTGTTGTATGTAAGAAATATTATTTATTTTTAATTATTAGCTTTCAACAATAAAGCTATGTCTGCGAGCTATATGTTGACTCTTTTTTCCTCTCATTGTATGTATATCGTCATGCTAATGGCATACTTTCCTGATTTGTAATGTGATGCTGAATATTAGTTATTTGCAGTTAAGGTCAACTTACCTTTTCTTGATTGTGCAGTCACTTTTATCACGCACACCATATATATGGTTGATTAGGTTTCTTTTCTATGGACAATATCCTAAGTCCTGTAAGATAATGGTTAATTGGCATTTTGTGTATTTTGTATAAGTTCAATGCATAATTTCTAATTTACATCTGAATTAAGACAGGGAGAGGATTGGTCTAGATTCATTTACTGATTCATGATTTGTCCTCTCTTCTCAAAATCAAATAATGTGTATGTTTCATCAGGTTAATTCCCTCATATCATTATCAGAATTTTGTAATATGTAGCAAGTTATGTGATAGACCGTTTTGGCATGAAATTAAGATCATCAACACTTTGACCAACTTGGATGTGGATACTGTCTATTAACGAAAATAGCAGAGTAGAGCAGAGACAGCTAGTTTTGACCATAAGTGTCTACCATTTGGCTACCTTTTGAATCTTAATATTTACCGTACTCATCATGTATTGCACTCGTTTTGTTTGGCTCAATGCAACTATAATTGTTGTAACTATCATCAGATGGCATTGTAATTACAGAAGTTTCGTTCAATTTAAAAATTGTACTGACTTGCATTAAAGTTATGTTTACAAGTGTTTGTTTTTGTGATGTTAGATCCTATAATCCCAACAACACCCCCCCCCCCCCCCCCCCAAAAAAAAAAAAAAAAAACAACAACAAAAAACAAAAAACAAAATAAAAATAATATTAAAAAAAAACTAAAAGGCGTAACGGTGGTTTTCTATAATTTCATCGAAGTTCCATGGGGGTTTCTGAGAATAATGTTGGAACTTTTGGTTTTTCAAAAATAATGTTGAATTTTTGGGCTTTCCTGAAAATAACATAGAAAGTTAGAGGGTATGTTCAAAAAATTGGGGATCACGTCGTTCGTTTTTTTTTGGGGGGGGATCTGAAAATGGGCCAAAAGGTACCGGGGTTATGTCAAATGTACCCTTAAATATTTGTACAGTTCAGGCTCTATGGTTTTAGATCTAGATGTGACATTATGGTTTATTTTTCTATTCATATTTATGTTTACTTTCTAGATGTTGATCTCATTGAAAAGAGTGGACAAGGAACTTCAACATTTCCAGCGTGGCAATGGACTCCGAGAAAATATTTCAACGTGATATTAAGAATTACCTCTATTGCCTGCCGTAGGGAGTTGCTGAGACTTTGTATCAGAACTCTTTCTATGCATGTTATATGTTCATTCATTATCATCCTGATATGAATTTAGGTCATATAGAATTACTTCACGGCTTTACCCTTCTAATATATTTTCCAAAGTTCAGGTAAGATGTGGCTTCTTTTTCTTAGAAATTGTTGGAAACTCAAGGAGAAGAGGAATTAAAGTGTGTGGCTACATAGTTCACTTCCGATGTGGCTTCTTTTCTTCGAAATTGTTGGAAGCTAAAGGAGAAGAGAATTTAAAGTCTTCGCCTATGTGATTAAAAGGTATGAATCTATTTTCTGACCTTGGTTATGTTAAATGCAATTTTTCTTATTTTCTCATATCAATTTAAACATGAACTTTCAGTTTTTAAACTTGTGCTGAAGAAACGGTGTGTTCTTACACTATATCTTGTTTTTTTTTAAGAAAACCATTACATAGGAGATAAATTGCAATAAAGTCATTAAACTATGACATTATATCTATGAAATTATGCGATTTTTTAGTTATGGTAACTTTGATCGGAGGAGGAAACATGGAACCTAAAAGACTGGGATTGAGAAAGTTACTTTTGCTGCCAATCATAGAATTCCATCAATTGCTTTATTTAAGAACATATTAATTAATTTCCCTGAACATACCGTTGAAATACTTTACATTGTTACCCTACGGGAGGATTAAAGAACTACAATTAAGTTGGTATTCCCGGCATTATTAATGCGAGGATCACACCTGTACACATACCTCTTTGCAAAGTATAAATAAATCAAGAACGTCACCCCTCCATGGGCAAAAAGAAGCCAGTAAAAGAGATCTACACGGCTCTGGTTCAGCGTGTCCCCCTCTAACCATCCTTTTCCCTCGGCACTGTGCCTAGTTACTTTGTTCACGATGTCAATCAGAAGTGTACCCATCAAGGAGGATAACCCAAGAGTGCACCAAAATATTGCGGTACCCAAGGATTTCATCCCTCTGGAGGCCTCACTATTGAAAAACTCCAATAGACCTGGAAATGCAGTTGCATCGGTTATGCCGAGAAAAAGGAACTGTGCGGACAACCAAAGTACAGACATTGGAACGCCAGTGCCTAAGTCTTCTAATCCATTTTCTTCGACAATTTTCAGTCTTTTTCTCTCTATGATCGCTGCAATGCCAGTTGCTATTGTTATTACCACAAAACCGATACCAATGCGTTGAAAGTAAGTGATACCACTGGAGTAGCCTGTCATCCTTCTAGCGAAGGGTACGAAGAACCGGTCATAGACCACAAGTATCACTGTCTGAAGAACAATCGGGATTAAAAATAGACTAACGGGAGAGATGTGGATCTTCCCTACTTTGGTGTTCATAGTATTTCCTTGTTGCACTGTGAATGTTAAGAGCAGGAAAGTAGGAGTATAAGTGAGCACAGAGGTGAGGAATATGGGAACCATTCGGAAGAGTATCTTTGTTTCTTCCACCTGAGTTACAGTGCACAATGACCAGCGTCCAGATTTTCCATCATCTATACAAGCTTTGTCAAGGAACCTGACAAGAAAAAATAAAACAGAAGTTAAAATCACTTCTGTTGATCTTCAACTATACATAGATAGCTATTCTTTCAATTAAGATTTCTTTTTCTAGTACCCTCCCTTACCTCAATCCTTTCGTATGAGAAATCTTTTCCATATGAAGTGTCTGTTCCTTCTCGTCCAGCTTCAAATCTTCTAATGTTTCAGGCATAGTAAGATTTCTCTTATTGAACGCTGATACAAAGACCTTGAAAGGGAAGAAGTCTGCTAAGTAAACTGAAATTAATTGGAAAAAACAAACCCCTTTCCAAAGTTTTGTAATGTCAATTCTTTCTACCTGCAAAATCCGAGTAAGAGGGCTTCCTTCTGATTTCTGGTTACGGTATAATGGGAAACCACTTGCTAGAACTAAGAGTCCTATGAGAAACAGAAGAGCCGAGACTCCAAAGCTGTAATCCCATCCCTTGTTGTTCTCAAGCCACACTATGAAAATTAGGCCTATGAAACCTCCTACACCAATACTGAAGGTGAACCAGTTGAAGAAGCTGGATTGGAGTTGCGACTCCTCCGGGTCTTGGCTGTCAAACTGGTCTCCCCCGAAGGGTGCTAAGCATGCTCTCATGCAGCCTTCTCCGAGAGCGATTGTATAGAGTCCTATGTAAAGAAGAACCAAGTTAAAGCCATGGACTCGCTGACAGTCGTTTAATTGGTCCGAGGTGTTGCAGTGTGGAGGATGGAGTGAGGGATGACGTGCCTGTAGTGCTAGCAGTCCATACCCCTGTTGGAGATTTTTTAACATAGTTACATTTCTTGGACTTGATGAAAGTCAATAATTTAAACAAAAAAAACCAGGTACTTCATGAAATATGCAGTAAAGACTAGCTTGCCTATAATCTAGTGACTACACCTGAAAATGAAACGGAAGGTTAGTTGAATTTTAATTTCTAGTTGTTTGGTGGATTTGTAGCTTCTGAAATTGTATATGTACAAATGTATCTTTGTCTCTGTATCCTACTATTTAGAGTTTGTCCTGTCAGATACCTTATGACGATCTGACACTCAATATTGGTCTGGTGTGTAATGTGTCCATGTGAGACTGAATTTATTAAAACTTTTTATTTCACAGGCTGGATTCTACATAAATGGCATTTGTTTCCTTTGCAAGAGTATTCTTTATAAGAATGCATCTGTTTTTTTAGAATATCAAGCACATCTGGATTGATATATAGGTAAAGAACGGTATAAAAATCAAACTTACCATACTTTGCTTTCAATAAACAATGGCTACTGGAAATTTTTTGATCATGATAAAGACTATTAGTTATTTAGTCATACATATATGGACTAAATGTGACTTGATAAGTGTTTGCAGATGATATCGGTCCTTTTAAAGTTCCAATGATATGTATACATATATAGGACAAATTTTCAAAATAGACCCTATTAGTAATTTACTTTTAAAAAACGACCCCTTTGAGATTTAAATGCCATTTTCAAAAATGGCAAATAAAGTTCGAAAACTTCATGGGATTTAAAATCTTGTGAAGTTTAGTGCCTGATTAACCACACTAATGAAGCTGCAAAAGAAATACACCCAAACTTCACGGGATTTCAAATCTCGTGAAGTTGCAGGCCCATTTTTACAGAGAGCTCGATATGAGCTTTCTGGCATATGCCCTCATGCAACTTCACGGGATTTCAAATCCTGTGAAGTTTGGTTGTAGTTTCAGATGGCTTGGTATGTTTCGTGATTAGTCTGAATAATTTATCGACTAAACTTCACGAGATTTTAAATCCCGTGAAGTTTTCAAAATTTATTTACCATTTTCGACCTAGTTTCAACCGAGTGGCTGAAACCAGGTCGAAAATGGTAATTAAATTTTAAAGGGGTTGATTTTTAAAAATAAATTTCTAATAGGGTCTATTTAGAAAATTTGTCCTACATATATATTGGATAGTTACCAAATATATAGAGATAAGGATTCCACTTTGTCTCATAACTATAAACCAATTCTTGGACAAGCTACAACTTTGTACTTGTTTCTGTTTCATTTCACATAACTCAGCCTAAAAATTAATATATTATGTTTCAAACTTGTATGTGAAATTTGTATTAAAAAAAAACTCTTTTCTGATATTAGTCACTGTCTTCACCAATATGTGGAAGATGAGCATATACATAGATAAACTAAGAGGTCAAGATATTTACCACAAACTGGAAGGGACCAAAGATAAGCATGGTTTTGAATCTAGTGGTGTATGAGTCTGACAAGAATGCTCCCAACAGAGCAAAAGCACAGGTAATGCCGGTGAAATTTGTGCTCATGGTTGAAGATTTTGCAACTCCTGTGTGCATGATGTCATGAAGGTACGTCACCAAGTTAAATGAGCTTGGTATGTAACCAATGGTTGTCATCGTCTCCATGACTGCAAAATAAATGAACAAAAGTTAGTTTCAGAAAAAAACACTCCCATCTCCCTATTTTCCATAGCTTTACAGTTTGCGGCAAACTGTGTCAATCTTCTGTCTTCACCTATTAATTAAACCTGAGAAAAATCAAGCTTGAAAGTGCATTATAAAGTTAATTTCAACACTTGTCTTGTTCTCATTCATAGTAGGCCTCCTGTTATTGATCAATTATGTTTCCTAACTGGCATGGGAAGTACAAAGAGGCTCTGTTAAGGCTCTTTCTGGAGCATTGATGTTGACAATTACGCTCGAATATTCACCATGAAGGAACAGATGATGACTTAAGATAAGCTGAATATATGCATGATTATGCTCTCATATCATGCCTCTTTTATAACCAAGCCTGTTTTAATTGAAAAACAAAGCCCAACAGAGCATTTTGAGGTTAGTTTCTAAAATTTCACGTCATGTATCATTCTTCTGTACCTACCCATGTTTTTCCATTAATTGTAGATCTAGATCTAAAAGGTCTAAATCAAAAGAGCAAGTGTATCGTAGAAAAAATAAGAGCATGTGGTCAGAAGAAAACAGCCCATTTGGATTATACAACTCACACTGGGTGAAGAATGCAGCTCTAACTCCCCCATGCTTTTTCTTGTCAATGGGATTTCCTCTCCAATCCACAATCCCCTGGGTTTCCATGGTTAGCCTGTGACAGTTCAGGCTTTTCTCTAAATGCTATGCTATTTGGCTTATGGTTATCTCGTTCGAGTGTGAGCTGCTGGTATCCGAGCCTTTTTTATGGAAGATTGGAGGTTAAAAGTGTAACTTTTTGAGAATATTGGTGATTAAACAATACCTCAATGATTGGCCTGCATACCTCATATCTCCTTATGTTATGCTTCTTCTCTCAGTATGCATCTCCATAGTTCTTTGTCTTCATTCTTACTGGTTAACTTTGAGCAAGAGGCAACTCATTTAGTCTTGGTTAATTATCCAGTACAGAAATTTAATTATGCACTGCTGACTAATCAGGATTTAACTCATCAACGAACACAAGACAAGGAACTTACTGTCTGTTTTTCTTAATATATATAGTTTTTTTTTTTATATTTTTATATTTCACATACCATAGGACATGGCATTATTCAAAGGACCATTGGGTTCATTAGGCTTCAGCTTGCGATTGAAAAAATTATAATCATGTTTACATCACTTGTCATCTAAAACTAACCTATTTGTGCGTAATTTTCAGATTAATTTTAGTCACTAATTTTGATTTCGATTGCTTTTGTACATTAGGCAACAGCTCGCACTTAACCCCTTAACTTTATTCTCTAGGACAGCCTTTTTCTCCTAATACAATTTTTGATGGGGGACAACATGTACAAATAGACTGAATTAATAAATCGAGTAATTATTATTATTATTATTATTGTTGTTGTTGTTGTTGTTGTTGTTGGGTATGGTCCAATCTTTGTTCTTTTGGGACATTGTTGACTGATTACTATTTGTTATTAGCGTGCTCTTATCAAGATAAATCCCGAATCTTGCAATATAATTTTTAATTCATTTCCCTTTTAACTCCTAGGTAGTCTATTTAGGTTTATAAGTTCTCCTTTTTGTCCTTGTTTCACAAATGGATTCTGTGTTTCACTTCCTTGATTCTCACTGGTTGACTATTGAGCGAGACCAACTCATTTAGCCTTGGTTAATTTCGATACAAAAATTTAATTATGCAATGCTGACTAATCAGGGATCAAATCAGCAACTAACACAAGACGGAAGAAGCTTAATATTTGTTTTTTCTTAATTAAACCACCTATTCTGGAGATTTTTATTTTTATTTTTATTTATATTTCACACACTAGTACGGTCTGCCATTATTCAAAGGACAAGCGGGTTTATTAGGCTTCAACTAGCGATCAAGGAAAAAATTATAGTCATGTTAGCCTCACTTGTCATTTCAAACTAACCTATCTATGAGTATCTTTCAGAATAATTCGTGTTGTTAATTTTGATTGCTTTTGTACATTGAGCAATACCTCCCCCACCCAACCCCTTAACATTATTCTTTAGGACAGTCTTTTTCTCTCTCTGCAAATTTTGGTGAGGATTACATGCCCAAATAGGTCAAGTGCTGATAAAAAAAATTTAGGTATAATATAAGAGGGGACAAATTTTCAAAATCAACCTTTTTAGCATTTTAAATAGTAAAATCGACCTTATCTCATTTTATTCAGCAAAACCGACCCTTTTCTTTTGAAAAGGGTCGGTTTTGCTGCAAGAAGTTTTTTACGACATACACGGGACTGCTAGTCCCGTGTATTTCAAAATACACAATGAAATGCACGGGACTAGCAGTCCCGTGCATTTTACAGAGAGCAACGAACCAAGGGCACAATGAAATGCACGGGACTAGCAGTCCCGTGCATTTTACAGAGAGCAACGAACCAAGTGCACGGGACTGCTAGTCCCGTGCACTTCCTGGGCACAATGAAATACACGGGACTAGCAGTCCCGTGTATTTCCTCCACATAATGTGCAGAAATATGTATTTCTGCTGCGGGAAAATTCCCGTACAAACTCATTTCAAATGCAACAATCATAAATTACACCATTGCATAAACACATATATCAATTCCCTATACAAACTCATATGTTAATTCCCTGTATAAACACATATATCAAATATGAAAATCATAAAATACACCACAAACTTACGAATCCAAATCCAACAAATCACGCCACAAACCCACTTACAAATCTAATAAGTCACACCACAGTCTCCGCTACAAATCCAAAAACCATCTATTGTCCTGAAATACGTTTGTAATGTACATATCAAAATAGGATTGTAATTTATATAACAATACCGATTAGCTTATATTCATCCAAGAACTCTTCTCCTCCTCCTTTGTCTTCGGCTTCCTCCATCCCGACCTTCGATGAGTTCATGATCCGGTTGCGTTTGTGGTTGTGACGATCCAGCTCCATCGTCAGCACGTTGGGAAGGCCCAGCTTCATTGTCGTTTCTGCGTCGTCCTCGTCTATGTCGTTGTTGACGTGTGTATACTAATTGCGCTACCTCTCGTCCATCATGAAGGTCTTCATGAGTTCGATGTAAGGCTTGGTGAAGCCTCTGCATTATCGACTGATATATTGATGCATGTTTCTGTGCTTCGGGATATGTACCTGCGAGAGATAATTCAAAAAAATCCGAAATGCAAAAATTACTGTAAAATTCAAATTATAATATGTAAATTTTATATTTAATTCTATATTACCTGCTCGAGCCAATTCCAGGCCACGATTTGTAATGGTTTGAACATCATCTATTGCTGATACCTGCAAATTTTAAAAAAACATAATTTAGCAATATTGAAAAATACTAATAAAAATGAATAAATTTGAAAATACTTACTAATTCTCTCTCATCTATACCCCGAGGCACATATCCTCTTTGCAACTCAACCGGGGATGTGGTCGCATGGAGTATCCATCTTCTAGTTATCCTCCAATACCAAGTGTAGTAATCTGATTCCTGGGGAGTTGACTCGATTTGTTCAACAATACAAAAATGTCTATCATTCCATCTGTGTATATAATTTTGATGCTCAGCTGCCCAGTCCTTTTGATGGCCTCCTTTCTTCGCCTTCCTCTCTATTTTTTTAACAAATTGCGGAACATGTTGTGCAAGACCAAATTGTCGAAGCACGCGGTTCGGTACATGCATTTCTACTATCTCGAAACATATTAGAGGAACTCGGGCTCTCCATATAACTGGGTATTCTGTGCATATAGGGGGTAGATGATCGAGAAATGGGGTGTAGGGCTCCCATTCCATCTACAGAGTATTACATGTAATTGTTGCATATCATTAAAACGAAAGTTGATATATAGAAGAAAAAACTCGTTTTTATAGAAATGATACCTGAAAAATCTTCATGCGGTTAAGCTCATTTCGGTAGAAATCTAACTGTCTCGCCGGGGTCTCGTCAAAATATTTTTGGACATTCCATCTGTATTAGTTTCAAAATTCAGTACCAAATGAATAACTACAATTATATTTACTACGTTAAAAAATATAATACCTGCATCCTAGTGGAATTTGTCCGTCTAATTGTAAATTCACGCATAGTCTCGGCTTCAAATGCAGCCTCTCCCATGCCCATACTTGCAGTAAGCTGAGACATCCTTTGAGGTCACTATTTTTTATGAATGCAACCTTAGACATCTCTCTATATAGGTACGCCAAAACCGCACTACCCCACGATAACGCACCACACGTGTCCAAGTCCCCGATAAGTGGTAACCACCTAGCATTTTCATAACATTTCAAGTTATCAAAATAAGCTAAATCAGCAGACATAATTGTAAATACTGATAAAAATGATACCTGGCATGCACTTTATCTTTACTCGAATCTGAAAATAATATTGAACCGGTCATGTGCATAATGTATGCACGTGCATGTTGCTCAATCAATATTGGCGGCACATCAAAAGGTAACGGCACCGAGAATGTATCTTTTAGCCACTTCAATTTAATATTTCCTCCAGGCATTGACTCTGGAGCTACACCTAACAACTCCTCACACTTTATCGGCCAAAAATGTCTTTCACTGCCGGTAACGCACGGACCATCTATGCGGAGACCAAGTATCATAGCTACATCCTGTAGCGTAATAGTAGGCTCTCCCATTCGGAAGTGGAAAGTGTTGGTCTCCGGCCTCCACCCATCTATCAAAGCGGTGAGTAGGGGCCAATCGAGCCTCATCCAACGAAGCTTTGAACATGTCAAGAAGCCGGCCCGTCCTACAGCTGCTATTATGCGCTCATCCTCTATATGCCAACGGCTATGGCTGAGGCTATGATCAACCATAACAATATCCGGGCCTCTCTGTAAAGCAAATATATATATAAGAGAACAATATTATAAGAATGCAATATTAAAATTATAAGAAACTTAGTTACCTCTGTAAAGGATATAACATGTGAACGGTGTCGAGGCTGGTCATATAGGACCTCATCACTACTCGGTCCAGGCTCCATGGTGTATATACCTGCACATACAATTATAACATATCAATAACCGATCCACGAATAATAACTATAGTTTCTATATTAAAATAACAATTTGAATATGTTAATTATTACCAATTAATTGCTAACTGTTGGGTCTAGCTGGAAAACAAGGTCGAGTATGTCCCGGTTGTTTGCAAAGACTACATTTTTTATGCTTGACAATTCCTTCTCGTCCTTGATCCATGGTTCCCCTAATTCGTACAGATCGTGGTCGACCTGCTTGTCTCTTGTATTGAGGTTTTGCTGAAAACAGTCCAGTATATTCGGGCCAATACCGACTATCATCAGGTGGATGAAAACTCTCACTGTATGTCTTTCGGTAATGAATTGTTGAATACCATGGTGAACAATACCGATTATATGAAATTCTCGCACCACCCGGCTGATTAGAGGAAGCCGCAAGAATATGTGCACAAGGTATTTTTTGAAGTTGTGGTATGTTACATGTGCAAGTGCAATCAACATCAAACAGTTTAACGGTGTAGATACCGTCATAATCCTGTACCTGCCATTCATTATCATTGAATACAGTAATTTGACATAATCTTGCCGCCTCAATTCTTCTATGCAAAATAGACTCATTCTTTGGTGTGTAACGCGTTGTCCAGTCTACACCGTCCTCACGCCTTTTGTTGAAGTATGAGTTTAGCCTATAGAACGTTCTTGCAACCAATGATTGTATTGGCATAGCTCGTGCTCCTTTAAGAACGCCGTTAAAGCTCTCGGAGCAATTAGTTGTCATCATGCAAAACCGCACACCCTCATCCTTACATAATGCCCATCGATGCTCGAATTGAGGCTTCAAGTTATGTTCAATCCAATTATGTGCATCTAATGACAAAGACTTGATCTTCTCTCTACAATGTTCATACACTAATGTATCGGTTGCACACCCAGCTTGCCACAAAAGATTTTGCAAATTAATCTCACCGTGTTTTTTCTTAAAATTATCTCTTATATGCCTCAAACAATATCGATGGTGATGTGGTGCACCAAAACCCTCATGTAATGCCCTTATAATTCCTTTCATCCTATCTGAGATAAAAGTAATTAATCTGGGCGCACGGACACTAGGAATCCACTTGTATATAAGTTCAAAGAACCACTTCCAACTAGAAGTATCCTCTACCTCCACAACTGCAAATGCTAGAGGAAATAAACCGCCATTTGCATCTACACCGGTCGCCACAAGAAGCACGCCTTTGTACTTGCCATATAGATGCGTACCGTCAATGCTCAATAACGGACGACAAAAAGTGAAGCCCTTAATAGCCGGACCAAATGCCCAAAATACTCGAGTGAACCTCTCCATCCCCGGTGCAATCTCTTAAGACAGTATTTCATATTCAGTACCTGGATTATTTCGCTTGATAGCTTCAAGATACTATGGAAGTAATTCATAAGATTTTTCCCAATCTCCAAATATTTTCGACAACGCTTTCCTCCTTGCATCATATGCCTTATATTTAGATATCTTAATGCCCCGCATATCATATACCCTTTAAAATATCTGACTTGCATTTAGATCAAGTTCAGCTCTAACTTCAGGCATAATTAGCTTACATATATAAGAGGAAGATGTAGAATAATGATCGACGTCCACCGACGGATTGCAACAAGTATGAAGCCCGCAATATCTAGATATTACAAATTGCCCATTTGTTGATTTCCTCACAGCGGCATTTAGCAACCAAGGACATTTCCTGTTTCTCTCATCTTGCTCATTTGCATGCTCTACTTCATTCTTCTCGTTGAAATAACATTTTACATAGTAGTTGGTTGCATTAGTTTTTACAGGCTTGAATTTGACCCGATTTTTGATAGACCATTCTCGCCCCTTTTTTAAAAGTGAAGTCTTCAGGCCGTTGAAAGTTTGGACCAACATCAACAAATTTAGCTTGCGAAGTATTTATCCAATCTTCATTATGAAACTCGTCGGGCAACGGATCTTCAGCTTCCACATAATCATTATTAACATTAAATTGATCCATCCAACGAGAATCATCATCGATTCCAACTGCCACATGCATGCTATCAATTTGCACGTCTTCTTCTTCAATATCTTCTGAGTCATCATTTACTTCTTCTTCTACAATTGATCCGGCCGGTAGATCACCCGTAACATAGCCCGATGCGTCGTTAAATATAGTACTTGACGTCCCACCAAGAGAATGCCCACTTAAATGTTGTAGTTGACACCACGGCTCTTGACTTGGAGATGTCATAAAACCACTCGACTCATTGTCTAAGTCCATCATCCGAGAAAACTCTCCTTGTGGTCGTGAAGCTTGGGCAAATTCTTGAATCGGATACTTCTCAATGAACAACTCAACTGACGCTTGCTTCTCCACTAATTGTTTCATGTCATTCAATTCCTCATCGTCGGTAATCGCCACAGCAATAGTTCTACTCTCATTTACCGGACAATTGAAGAACACTTTAATTGCATAACATGCTTTATTAATTTTCGTAACTCTGTGTATTTCATTCATCATTCCATCAAAATTTAATGACTTGGATAGCATAAACATTTTCCTAGAACCTCCCTCATACATCGGCATACTATTCAATCCGACGCCGAGGCTCCCATTGAAGAAGCAAATAATGGGTATAGAGTTTGCCATCGAAGCTGAAAATCAACAATCCATCATATGTAAATAATCTATTATAACTGTAAATATTAATCTTAATTTAAAGTCCTGAAAATCAACAATCCATCATATGTAAATAATCTATTATAACTGTAAATATTAATCTTAATTTAAAGTTAAATTTAAAACCCTAATCTCAACTACAAAGCAAATAATTGCTAAATTCTCTAATCCCAAATCATATTATTCATGTCTAAACCCTAATTATGGTTAAACCCTAATCTCAAATCACATTATATGTCTAAACCCTAATTATGGTTAAACCCTAATCTCAAATCACATTATTCATGTCTAAACCCTAATCATGTCTAAACCCTAATCTCAAATACATTCCCAAATTTCAACCTTAATCCCAAATCTCAACTAAATCCATTCCCAAATCTCAACCATAATTCCCAAATCCCAACCCAAATCCATTCCCAAATCCGAAATTTCATGGCTAATCAAAATTTAAAAAAAAAACCACATTTACCTTGTCGGAGCAAACTTGGCCGGCGGTGGTCGGAGCGAACTTGGCCGGCGGAGGCGGTGGTCGGAGGGCGCTTGGTCGGAGGGCGCTTGGTCGGCGGCGGCAGTGGAGGAAGCCGCTGGGTTTGAGGAGCGGGTGAAAGAGGAGGGGTGAATGGGTTTGGGTGAAAAGGAGTGCGGTCAAAGATGAAGTCACGGTCTTTTTACCACCGATCGCACGGGACTGCTAGTCCCGTGTTAATCGAAACTGCCACGAAATACACGGGACTAGCAGTCCCGTGTATGTCCTAAAAATTATTCAGCAGCAAAACCGACCCTTTTCAAAAGAAAAGGGTCGGTTTTGCTATTTAAATTTCAAAGAGGTCGGTTTTGCTATTTAAATTTCGAAATTGGTTGATTTTGAAAATTTGTCCTATAAGAGGCTAACCCCCTATAGTACAGGAGATGTATATGCAATTAGTCCTAGAAATTATCCATATATGAACAAGATCCATTTATGTTTGAGCTGTTCATAGTTTGTGCATGTAAATGTTGTATCTGAGAGTCGCCTGAACTTGCTGACTAATTATTATCCTCTGTAGAAAATCATGTAGAGAAAAGAGGATATCAACACACTAAGATTAATAATCGTATAACTTTAAGCTTTTACCGGACACGTGTGCTCCTGAATTTTCTAACTAAAACACGTTTTGCTCCTCCTCAGTTACAGTCTTTTGGCCTGATCAATGTTAGGGGAAGCAATTTCTACTACACTAAAAAAACAGTAGGGTTGAAGAGTTTCCAATTTTAAGTGACAATTGTGAGCTTCAGCTGTTTAGTTATTTTGCACTGTACTTTATGGAACCCGGAGCTCATACCATTATTACATCAATGTTCATGTTTGTTTTTCTTGGTTTAAGATTCATGTCACACCCCATGCCCGCAAGCCCAATAGCAGTAAGCCGTGGGACCCACTGAGTGTAGCGCGTTGTTTGGCTCAAACCACCGCCAAAATCGACTAGTTGATGCTAAAGTTGAACCTCATGCTTTACTATGTTAACCATTCAATTCATTGTTCACCCACCGATGTGGGACTGAACTTTATGGGTTGTTACAATTCAGTCCCGCGCATCTTTATATCTATGTCAAAGTCATTACGTTGAGCATGTCAGTAATTTTGCTATTCACCTTCTTCTCAAAGTCCTCATAGTTTGTTTTTCTTTATTACTTTATTAAAATTCTTGTAATGTTTGTTGATATATTCTGTTGAAGCATAATTTAGTTATTTTACTGTTATTTCTTCCAGTTAATGGCTATTGTATGTACGAAGAGTGAATCTTATATGTCAGTGATGTCTGTTCATGGGAGAGATATATGTCTATTCATGGGAGAGATATAATCTATTCCCTTTAGATAATAATTTTCCAGACTTAAATGTTGCATTACTGTTGATATATCTGTTAATTTCTGTTGCTTTCCAAGATGATGTATTACGAGAATATTCCACATGATATAAGCAATCAGGAAAAGAACATCAAGGAAGAGCGCTAAAAGTATATTTCTGAGCTTAAATAGTACTTTGATCACGTATTCTGTCGATACTGTCCTTGTATCTAGGTTGAGGTATCCATCCTGTTTGATGTTAATCCAAACTTTTAACACATACTGCAACTGTGCTAGCTTGTCATAGCCATAAGCTTTGACCTTAGTTATCCATCTAACCCAAGCAGATATCGTGCCTGTACTAGTTACGGTAGCCGACATATCTTCAGCAGTAAGAATATTTAGACTTTAGTTCAAGCCTTTGTATGATCCCCTCGGTTCCCGAGGCCTTATGCTGATTTCAGTTTGCTTGCTAGTTTCCGTTGAGTGACACCAAACCAAATTGTAGCCCAGGTTTCAGTTTGATTTTATATAGAATAAGATTTGGTTAAATGATTCAGGACATGTATTATTAGCAAAACAGCTACAGAAAATGGGAAAGGGTGGAAATTGTTTCAAGACTCTTCAACTCATAGGGTATTACCTTTGAGTCCAACCATCACCAAATACCCTATGAAATCAATGCATAATGGTGAAAGAATCCATGTCTGAGTCTAGAATAGCAGAATATGTTAAGATCAGTTTGTAGTTTTCAGAAATCAGGAATACCCCCTACAGCTTTCAGAAATTAAAGAAAAGTGCCTGCGGTTTTCAGAAATTTCAGAGATACTCCTATGACAAATAAACTAGTTTTAGAGCTTCGAACACGACTGTAAAGTATATAAGATGTTGAGAATTGTTCTAAGACATTTTTGAAAGATTCTTTTTACAATGATAAGTTCAGGTTCGCATAAGTACAAAAAGGAAATGAAACTGACAGCACATAGATAATCGGGTGAGAACCAAAGGATAGGATGTCAAACAAATTTTAACCCTAGAGGTTCTAACCCTAGAGGTTCAACACCAATTTAAGTGTAAACTTTCAGTTTTTACTTATATTGGACAAACACTGGTGATGCCTGTCATATATCTTTCTTTTGAGAAAATTACTTCATGGGAGATAAATTTCAATACAATCAACAACCTGACGGAAAACTTCATGAACCTATATGAGTTTCTATTTAAGGTAACACTAGATTAGAAGAGGAAACATGAAACTTAAAAGACCAATTGTGGTTAAGGTAATTACTTTTTCTACTAATCCTAAATTTCATTGAATTCTTTATTAAGATCATATGAATTTTCCTAACATATCATTAAAAACACTTTACATAGCAACTCTTTCGTCCATTGAAGGATTTGAGCACTCAAGTTAGTATGGAGGGTGAAGGTAGAAACATCTATTATGAGCACATTGAAGATGAAGGTAGAAGCATCTTTAGTTCTTGTCGTGATATTTTTTGACACTTTAATATGATATAAGAAATATCTTTATTGCTTACGTAGGGGGTTAATTGTCCTGTCTTCCAACTTGAGAGTAACCACATAAAAAAAATCAGGAAGGTATTTGAAGGATTTCCATATCAGGAGGGTGAACTAATGGTCATCATTTGTGATAGTTGATGACTGGGTATCTGAATTATTTCTACGCGTGTTAAAGTATATATATGCCGATCGAATATCATGCTGATATGGAGCTATGTCATATAGAATTCTTTTCCCCTTTCTAATACATTTTCCATAGTTTCACTTCATATGCGGCTTCTTGTGCGAAGAGAGTGTTGGAAACTCAAGGAGAAATCAAAGTCAGAAATCAAAGTCAGTGCGTATGCGATCAGAGAGTATGATTATTTGCAACTCTTTCTTATTTTTCCCATATCAATTTCAACATAAACTTTCAGTATTTGACTTGGATAAACAGAGCGGTGCCTGTAATATATCTTCTTCTTCTTCTTCTTTGTCTTTTCTGAGAAAACCGTTAAATGGGAGATAAAGCACAATCATTAACCTCTGACATGAATTTTACGAATTTATGCGAGTTTCTTCTGAGGGAGCATTTGATTAGAGGAGGAAACATGGAACCTATAGAAGACTGGGATTGAGGAAAGTGTGTTTCTTGCTGATTATAATATTCCATTAACTGCTTTTATTTAAGAACATAATAATTTTCCTTCACGTACTATTGAAATACTTTACATCTTTCTTCCATAGGAAAGTTGGAGCACTACAAGCTAGCATGCCAGGCATTAACAATGCGAGGATCACACCTGTATACATACCTCTTTGCAAGGTACAAATAAATCAAGAACGACACCCCTCCATGAGCAAAAAGAAACCAGTAAAAGAGATCCAAACGACTCTGGTTCAGTGTGTCCCCCTCTAACCATCCTCTTCCCCCTGCACCATGCCTAGTAACTCTGTTCACTATGTCAATCAGAAATGTACCCATCAAAGAGCCCAACCCTAGAGTGCACCAAAATATTGCAGTCCCCAAGGATTTTATCCCTCTAGAGGCTTCGCTATTGAAAAACTCCAATAAACCGGGGAATGCAGTTGCGTCAGTTATGCCAAGGAAAAGGAACTGTGCTGTCAACCAAAGTACAGACATCGGAACACCAGACCCCAAGTCTTCTAATCCATTTTCTTCTATGATTTTCAATCTTTTTCTCTCGACTATGGCTGCAATGCCGGTTGCTATGATTATTGCCACAAAACCGGTGCCAATGCGTTGAAAGTGAGTGATACCACTTGAGAAGCCTGTGATCCTTCTAGCGAAGGGAACAAAGAACCGGTCATAGACTACAAGGGTCACCATCTGAAGGACTATGGGGAGTATGAATAGACTAATGGGAGATATGTGGATCTTCCCGAATTTGGTGTTCATAGTATTTCCTTGTTGCACTGTGAAGGTTAAGAGCAGGGTAATTGGAGTGTAGTTGAGCACAGAGATGAGGAATATTGGAACCATCCTAAGGAGTATCTTTGTTTCCTCCACCTGTGTTACAGTGCACAATGACCAGGCTCCGGATTTTCCATGATCTATACAAGCTTTGTCAAGGAATCTGTCAGAATTAACGTTACAGGTTTCAGAAATCATTTCTGTTGATTGTCAACCATACGAAGATAAATATTCTTTCTATTAAGATATCTTGTTCAAGTAGCCTCTCTTACCTCAAACCCTTAGTATGAGAAATCTTTTCACTACTCCCTTCCAGATGCAGTTCTTCTAGTGTTTCAGGCAAAGTGAGGTTTCTCTTTCTGAATGATGCTACAATGACCTTTAGAAGGAGGAAGTCAACTAAATCAATTGAAGGAAATCTAAGAGAAAAACTATTTCCAAAGTTTAGTAACATTAACCCTTTCTACCTGTGAAATCCGAGTTAGAGGGCTTCCTTCCGGTCTCTGGATACGGTATAATGGGAAGCCACTAGCCAGAACTAAGAGTCCTGTGAGAAATAGAAGAGCTGAGACGCCGAAGCTATAGTCCCATCCCCTGTTGTTGTCTAGCCACACAATGAGAATTAGGCCTGTGAAACCTCCTAAGCTAATACCAAACGTGAACCAGTTGAAGAAGCTGGATTGGAGTTGTGACTCAACTGGGTCTTCGCTATCAAATTGGTCTCCGCCAAAAGATGCTAAGCATGCTCTCATGCAGCCTTCTACAAGAGCAACTGTGTAGAGTCCTATGTAAAGAAGAACCAAGTTAGATCCATGGACTTGCTGACAGTCGTTTAATTGGCCTGAGGTGTTGCAGGGTGGAGGATGGAGTGAGGGAAAATGTGCTTGCAGTGCTAGAAGTCCATAACCCTGCCAGAGATATATGAACATGTTTATATTACTTGCAGTTGAAAATAAGTCAAGAATATCATGGCTGTAATCTGGTGGCTTCACCCGAAGATGAGAGTAGTATAAGTTGATCTTTTAATTGAACATGTAGTGTTAAAATATAATCTACCACTATAAAATATGGACTCATAAAATGTGGGTGTATCGCTCGTGTCCCTGGATCACACTACTTTAAGTTTGCCATGTTGGATGCCTTAGGACACTCAAAGACACTCGAAATCGTTGTGGCGTATAATGTCTAACATGTTCATGTGATACTAGTGTTGGGGATTCGAAATAATCAAATCAAATCCGTACCCTTCCGGATCTTGTGTTTGAGAGTAGAGCAAGAAAAAAATTCACCACAAATCAAAGATAAAAACTTGTAGGAAAGTAAACAAGAAAGAACACACCAGATTTAACGAGGTTCGACAACGTGCCTACATCCTCGGGAGCCACACCATACAAATCTTTGATTACTTAAAAAAATTACAATGCTTACAATTGGCCTCTCTCTCTCTCTAAGATTTCTAATCTCAAAGAGCCCTCAAAACCCTGTTTTTTCGTGCTCTTTTTCTCTCTTAAATCCTAAAGGGACGTATTTTTATTTATAACAAAACACAATCCCAAACATATTAGGATTCTAAAACGACTCTGCCACACCCTAGTGTGGCAGACACCACACCCTGGTGTGGCAGACACCACACCCATGGTAGACAGGACAAACTCTGCCACACCAGGGTATGGCAGACACCACACCTATGACAGACAGGGCAAACTCTGCCACACCAGGGTGTGATAGACACCACACCCATGGCCTGTCTTGAATTTTCATACGATTGTTGATTTTGATTCTAGGTTTGGGTCTCCACTCTCAAGATCAACAATCTCCCACTTGGAGATCAAATCACCATCAATGAGCTCTCCCGAACTCCGCCTTCTTCGCAAGCATCTTCTCCTACTTGGAAAAATCTATTCTTCAATCATCAACATCCCGACAATCTCGTCGATCCTCGTAGTATGGCTCCGCCTTCGTCTTCTACTCGTGAAGGCCAACTGAAGTTGCGCACAACTCCAGTTTCTTAATGGTGATTGTCTTCGTCAACATGTCCGTCGGATTTTGACTCCCCAAAATCTTCATTAAATGTAATTTTCGGTCTTCAACTAGCGAGCGTATAAAATAATATTTGACGTCGATGTGCTTTATTTTGATATAATATACTGGATTCTTGGCAAGATGTATAGCGCTCTGACTGTCACAATAAAGAACTCCTCTCCATTGCTTCAAATCCAACTCTTCCAAGCACCCGTTCAACCAGATCATCTCCTTGCTTGCTTCGGTCACCGCGAAGCACCCGTTCAACCAGATCATCTCCTTGCTTGCTTCGGTCACCGCGACATACTCAGCCTCGGTTGTAGATAAAGTCATCATCTCCTTGCTTGCTTCGGTCACCGCGACATACTCAGCCTCGGTTGTAGATAAAGTCATAATCTTCTGTAGACGTGAGACCCAGCTCACTGTTGTCGACGCTAAGGTATAAACATACCTCGTGGTGTTTCGCCTCGTATCATGATCACAGGCGAAGTCCGCATCAACGTATCCCTACAGCACCAACTCCTTCCTCCTGAAACATAGTGGTTTATTTGTTGTTCCCCTCAAGTACCGTAATATCCACTTCACGACCTCCTAATGTTGCTTCCCTGGATTGCTAACAAACCTGCTCATAACTCCCACTGCATGGGCGATGTCCGGCCTCTTGCAAACCATCGCGTACATGAGACTCCCAATGGCCGAAGAATATGACACCCTGCTCATATGCTCTTTATCTGCATCTGTCTTAGGCGATTGCTTCTCAGATAGCTTGAACTGACTTCCAAGGGGTGTGCTAACAACTTTAGCATTCTGCATGTTGAACCTCTAAAGTACCTTCTCAATGTATTCAGCTTGGCTCAATCACAATTTCCTTCCAGCTTTATCCCTACTGATTCGCATCCCTAGAATCTTTTTCGCTGCACCCAGATCCTTTATTGCAAACTCTTTTGCTAGCTGCTTCTTCAAACTATTTATCTTCTCTAAACATGGTCCTGCTACCAACATGTCATCAACATATAATAACAAAATAATAAAGCTGGACTCAAACCTTTTGAAATAACAGCAATGATCCGAATTGCATCTTCTGTAGCCATTGTTCTGCATGAAGTTATCAAACTTCTTATACCACTGTTTCGGAGCCTGTTTCAAACCATATAAGTTCTTCTTGAGCTTGCACACTATCTCTTTCTTTCCTTCTTTAATGAAGCCAACAAGCTACTTCATGTAGATTTCTTCATCCAAGTCACCATGAAGAAAGGCAGTCTTCATATCTAACTGCTCAAGAAAGAGGTCTTCTGCAGCCACCAAACTCAATATCACTCTGATGGTTGTGAGCTTCACAACAGGAGAAAATATCTTCGTGTAGTCCACTCCTTCCCGCTGTTAAAACCCTTTCACTACTAATCTGGCCTTAAATCTTTTGCTTCCATCACTCTCTTGCTTGACCCGGTAGACCTATTTATTATGTAAAGCTTTCTTCTGTGCAGGTAGTTGGGATAACTTCCATGTCTTATTAGTGAGTAGAGAATTCATCTCCTCCTACATCGCATGCTCCCACTGCTGAGATTCACCCACTTGTATTGCCTCTTCATAGCACTCCGGCTCACCGCTATCTGTCAACAATAAGTAGTCAAGAGATGAAAGATATCTAAGATTTGGTTTGGGTACCCTGGATGACCTCCTAAGCTCCATGCCCTAGGTAGTTTATTCTGCACCTGGAGCCTCCTCCATTCTCTGATCAGAACAAACATCATCACCCCTATCTGGAAGTTTCTCTATATCCATGTACTTAGATCCATCTGTATCTGAAATATTACTCTCACTGCTTTGGCTATCCTTGGCATCTTTCCTGTTCTTGTACATCACCTCCTCATTGAATATCACGTCCCTGCTTCTGATAATCTTCTTGTTCTTCTCATCCCAAAGGCGATACCCGAACTCATCAATGCTGTATCCAATGAATGTGCACTTCTGTGACTTAGCTTCTAGCTTGTCTCTGACATGGTCACTGATATGAACATAAGCCACGCAACCAAATACCCGCAAGTGTGAGAGATTTATCTTCTTTCCACTCCAAACCTCCTATGGAATCCTAAAATCTAATAAAACTGATGGCCCGTGATTAATAAGGTAAGTTGCCGTATGTATCGCATCTGCCCAAAATATCTTAGGCAGACCTGTATGTAATCGCATGCTCCTGGCACGCTCTGTCAATGTTCTGTTTATCATCTCTACAATGCCGTTCTGCTGTGGCGTCCCTGGAGTAGTCCTCTCTAAGCGAATACCATTCATAGCACAGAACCTCTTGAACTCCTCCAGATCGTATTCTCCACCATTGTCTGATCTCAGACATTTCACCTTCAGATCTGTCTCATTCTCCACCATGACCTTTCACTTCTTGAAGATTCCAAACACCTCTGACTTGTGCTTCATGAAGTAGATCCACACATTCCTTAAGTGATCGTCGATGAATGTGACATAATATCTCGAACCGACAAAAGATGATACACTGGCTGGGCCCCATACATCTGTATGAATCAACTCTAGCTTTTGAGCCTTAGGTGGTCTTCCACCCTTCTGAAAACTAACCCTCTTCTGCTTCTCAAAGATACAGTCTTCACAAACCCCGACTTCCACGGAGTCGATCCCGGTTAGTTTTCCCTGTGAATGTAAGATCTTCATCCCCTTCTCGCTCATGTGTCCTAACCTGTTGTGCCACAGATCTGTACTCTCTTTGCCAGCTGTAATTGCAAGGGTGTCACTCGCATGTAAGGTGAGGTAGAGAGTTTCTAGTTTGTTGCCTCGAGCAACTATCATAGTACCGTTAGAGATTTTCCATGAATCCCCTGTGAATGTAGAAACATAGCCTTCTGTTCTAAGCTGTCCCACCGAAACAAGATTCCTCTTCAGCTTTGGCACGTGTCTCGCATTCTTCAAGGTCCACTTAGAGCCCTTTATCTGAATCTGCACTTCACCCTTTCCAACAATATTACAGGGCTCGTTATTCCCCAAATATACTTTTCTAAAGTCCCCTGCTATATAATTCTGAAAGAGCTTCCTGTTAGCAGTGGCGTGAAAAGAGGCTCCTGAATCGATGACCTAAGAATCCGAGTCGCTATCCATAGCAAGGATCAAGAAATCCTGTACGATATGAGCCTCCTGCTCACCCGCATCCTTCTTTGGACTCTTGCAGACTAAAGACATATGATCCTCCTGGCCGCAGTTCCAACACTTTCTTTTGATAGGTCTAACCTTCGAGTTCGACCTCTTCTTCACTGACTTCGATCGATTCCTGTTCTGGTTTTCTTTCTTCTGGCTTTTGCCTCTCTGCTCGAAACTTAGAGCTGAACCTGAACCTTTTGATTCGGATGATTTCCTTCTAACCTCCTCGGATAGAATCATGCTAACAACCTCACTCAGCTTCAACTTTTCCTTCCCCGCCGAATTGCTAATTGCCGTCACACAACCTGCCCAACTATCCGGCAACTGCGATAGAATCAATAGGGCTTACACTTCATCATTAAACATGATGTCCACGGAGATAAGTTGATCAACAATCGTGTTGAACTCGCTGAGATGCATCGTGAAGGACCGTCCTTCTGCCATCTTGAGGTTGAAGAGAGTTTTGACGAGATGCACTTTGTTTGCTACCGACGGTTGCTCGTACATCTTCGCGAGCGCTTCCATAAGCCCCACCGTCCTCTTCTCCTTCAAAATATTATGGACTGCTGATTTGGCGAGCGACAACCGGATTTGCCTTAGAGTTTTTCTATCTAGTATCTCCCAATCACCATCTGACTCCTCTTTCTTCTGTCCCTTTTCCTTGCCCATCAACGGGCGATACAAGTCCTTCTGGTACAAATAGTCCTCCATCTGCGACTTCCAGTAGGCGAAGTCTGAACCGTCAAACTTCTCAATCTTAGATTTAATTTCCTCTGTCATGGCTCTCTTTCACACAAATTGCTGAACGAAACTCTGATACTAGTTGTTGGGGATTCGAAATAATCAAATCAAATCCCTACCCTTCTGGATCTTGTGTTTGAGAGTTGAGCAAGAAAGAAATTCACCACAAATCAAAGATAAAAACTTATAGGAAAGTAAACAAGAAAGAACACACCAGATTTAACGAGGTTCGGCAACGTGCCTACGTCCTCGGGAGCCACACCATACAATTCTTTGAATACTTGAAGAAGATTACAATACTTGCAATTGGTCTATCTCTCTCTAAGATTTCTAATCTCAAAGAGCCCTCAAAACCCTCTTTTTTCGTGCTCTTTTTCTCTCTTAAACCCTAAAGAGACGCGTTTCTATTTATAACAAAACACAATCCCAAACAGATTAAGATTCTAAAACGAGTCTGCCACACCCTGGTGTGGCAGACACCACACCCATGGCAGACAGGACAGACTCTGTCACACCAGGATGTGACAGACACCACACCCATGACAGACATGGCAGACTCTACCACACTAGGGTGTGACAGACACCATACCCATGGCATGTCTTGAATTTTCATGCGATTGTTGATTTTGATTCTAGGTTTGGGTCTCCACTCTCAAGACCAACAACTGGAACCATACAACCTTGTATTTCAGAGACTTCATCCTACATGAATTTCCTGTGCAAGACTCTGCTTAGTGAATCCAGATGTTTCTTTCAAAATCTCAAGCATGATTAGATTGACAGGTAAAAGCACTGTATAAGTCAATCTTAGCATGTATTTTAATAGACAAGTCTACTGATAATTTTTTTTTTTTGATCTGGATAAAGACTTACTCATGTAGTCGTTTGTGGACTGTATATGATGGGACTTAGGAGATGTTTTTCCAGAGGTCCTGATATGAGTGCAATTTTTAGATAATTGCATCACGTACCTATATATTGAGTAGTCATCTTGTATGTAGACTTGTTGGCTCCCATTGTCTTGCGACTACTCGATTTTCTACGAACTGCATCTTTTTACTGGCTCTTGTTTAATTTAGAGAACTCATCATAAATTGGAGAGAAAAAAAAGGTGTACAGTTTTCATTTGAAAATTTTCTACTAATTGTTTTCTTTTGAAATTAGCCATTATCTTCAAAGTACGAGGGATGAATTGAAAAGCGCAAAGATTTACCAAGAACTCAAAGGGACCAAAGATAAGCATGGTTTTGAATCTAGAGATGTACGAATCTGATAGGAATGCTCCGAACAGTGCAAAAGCGCAAGAGATGCCAATGAAATTTGTGCTCATGGTTGAAGATTTTGCAACTCCTGTGTGCATGGTGTCACGAAGATAAGTCACCAGGTTAAACGAGCTCGGTATGTAAGCAACGTTTGTCATTGTCACCATGACTGCAAAATTGACGAACAAAAGTTAGCCTTCAGAAAAACACACAAACTCCCCATCTTCCCTAGTTTAAATTTTTTTTTTTGCATACTATGTCTATCTTCTTTCATCACCTATTAATAATTAATTAAATTTGAGAAAACTCAATCTAAAAAGTGCATTATAAAGTAATTTCTTTTGCTCATTCATAGTGGGCATACTGTTATTAATCAATTATGTTCCTTAATCCTTTGGTGGCATGTAATCGCAAAGAGGCTCTGCTAAGGTTTCTCTTTGGGAACAGATGATGCCTTTCTAATAAGCTAAATATATGCATATTTGTGCTATCACGTTATGCCTGTGTTTTTTTCCCATTAGCTCTAGATTTAGATCGAAAGGGACAAAGTCAAAAGGGCAAGTAGATCTTATCTCAGAAATATGAAAGCATGTAATCGGAAGAAAACAGCTGATTTGCATTACAACTCACATTGGGTGAAGAATGCAGCTCTAACTCCCCCGTGCTTTTTCTTGCTTATGGGATTTCCTCTCCAATCAACAAAGCGCTGAGTTTCCATGGAAGCCTGTGACAATTCCTCAAAATGCTATTTGGCTTATGGTTATGTTGCTTATATGTACAAGCTGCTAGTATTCATAGCCTACTGATGGAAGCTTGGATTTTAAAAGTATCTGGAAGCTTGGATTTTAAAAGTATTTTTCAATTGAGGATATTGATGATTACACAATATCTCAATTATTGACCAGCAGAAGTCATATTTCTTTATATTATGCTTTTTGTCGCGGTAGATATCTCCGTCGTTCTTTGACTTCAAAGTCACTGGTTGACTAGCGAGTAGTGCACGAGGTTGTGTGTTTGCAACAATAACTAGTCATTTTAGACAATGATCTGATCCAAATTTGTCACACTCCCATGACATACATCACGCCTACGAGGTCGCGGGTCAGGTGTGTGATATTATTAGGCTTAACTTGTAATTAGAAAAAGTGGTAATCATATCACTTGTCATCTCAAACTTGCCCATCTGTGAGTATCTTTCGGGGGTAGTTTTGAGTCATTAACTTTGATGTTGATTTCTTTTGTAAGGATGTGAAAACATTGTGATATTTTCCTGATTTAATACATTCTTAAAAAAGGAGCAACACAAGTTGGCTCATGTTTTCCTTAGGTGGTGATACCTTTTTAAAAAGGTGCCACACTACTTGTGGTCTGCTTGTCTCTCCTGACAAATATTTGCAGAAAAGGTTTTGAGAGCCTAAACTTAAAGACCCTTTACAGGCATAACTTGTACGCAAGTTGATCATGTTTTCAGGTAAGAATACGCATACAATTTCATAGAAGTTCTCAAAATTGGGAAGAAAAAAAAATCATTTCGTCACCAATTGTTCTCATTTTCTATGGATGGTGAAGTTACGGTACCTGTTAGGAGGGAAAAACAGCACGACAAGCCAGAGTAGGAGAAATATAAAGTTCAAAATATGAGGTTTGGGATCTAATGGGAATATTTACATATGAAAACGTTAGTTGACTGAAGTAATTCTAGAAATTACACAGAGAATAGAGGTCTAAAGTTTGTAAACAGATTACAATCCGTATCAAGATGCTGATGTGGATATCAAATACTGTTGTATTTGGGTTGGTGAAGTGAAGTGTCACCTATTGTGAGACCCCAACTGTTTAGTCCCACATCGGGAAAGTGTGAAATGTTTGAGTGGCTTAAATAGGTAAGCCAAAGATTCAAGTGTAACATCGTCTAGTCGATTTTGGCAGTGAATTGAGCCACACGCACCGGTTCCAAAGCGTAATAATTGAAACCTGACTCGGCCAACAATGCAACCATACGGCTATATTCACACCTCTAGGTCATCCTGGCTACATATATATAGCCTCAACTACACCACAAAGCATGTAAACTAAGACAAAAAAAAAATATATATAGATAAAGAAATCTCCGGGAAGACAGAGTTTAACTACAAGTCCATAACTATCCACAATGGAAAAGAGTACGAAAAATACATCATAGTTTAGAAGGCCACTTGCACATGCAGCTCAAGGAAAAGTATGAATCAAATAACTACCTAAACCAATTGAAACTGAAGAACTGATAGGACACACCTAAACCAATTGAAACTGAAGAACTGATAGCACACACGGGGATCACTGTCGCTAGGTCTGCTCCTCAAAATACTCATGACTCATGACATGCGAAGAAAGAATAGTCCCCACGTCTAGGGTCACTGCTGGATCTGCTCCTCAAAATACTCTTGATCCTGCGAAGAAGGAACATTTCCCAGTCTAGGGTGCACAAACCCCAGGGGAGTCAGAAAACTCCCAATAAGCATGTAAAATGAAGGAATTGTGTGTGTGCAAGTGTATGTGGCAAGTATAAAGAAAAGATGAATTCTCAATTAAAGGTAATAAAAGAAAATGCTAACTGTAGATATCCAAATAAAGTCTATCACAAGGCACACAAGCACATTATTATTATTTTAGATGTTATTTGAATTAGGGGAGAATATTTTCATGTATATAAATCGGGTTTTCGTAACTGTCCCGGGAACATGGCTTCGAGTCAAGTATTGGCCCTTGGTCTTTATATAACTCAGGATATCAAGTATGCGCCTGAGCCTGCTTATATATACTTTATATTCTCCGTCCAATTCCCCTCTATTGAACCCACGTTTATCTATTTATTTTAAGTGACTGGACATGAAATGTTGTTCAGAAATCACATAGATACTGTGGAACGATTTTCGTAGAACTATGAAAAATAACTGTGACTCAGAACATGTCCAATTCAAGATGGATGCATCGTCTAATCAATGCTATTATAATAATAGAAATGATCAAGAGAAAATCCTCACATCAAGATGTCGATGTAGAGGGTGTAGTCATGCTATGATAGCACGCTTATGAATCATATTTTAACAAAAGTCGCCTTCATGCACAGTCAAACCTATTAAGTGTCACTAGGTGATCAAACAAAATTCTCATTCATCATAGCCAAAAGGGAAAATAAATAAATAATGTAATTGTTAATAGGAAAAATTGCTTCAAGGCCCCAAATCTAAAAAAGTCATGTGCACCAGCCCCCTGTATTTTTGCCCATGTGTATAAACCCAAAATACATTGTAAAATTTCGTTTCAGGCCGCTAACTCACAACTTGAGAGAATTTTTTTTAAATACTATTCTACCCCTAACCGGTTACTGCTATAGTACCCCGATTTTAGTAACCGCGCCCACTCACTCTCTAATACTGCTACAGTACCCCCGATTTTAGTAACCGCACCCACCCACTCTCTAACTCAAATCAAGTTTCTCTCTCTCTCTCCCCCCCCCTTCCACACTCTGTCTCTCCCACTCTCTATGGTTAACAGTAGCTGGCGAAATCCCTAAATCTCCACTCAATCTCCACTCTAGGGTTTGTCACAATAGGCAGAAAATGGCCGAAAAATCAACGGTAAAACCAGATTCCCTAACTTCATTAAGAAAGGCGATGAATTAGAAGTTATTCACAGTCCTCCTCCATCGCTGCAAGAGCAAGAACCTGCGCCCACGAACGACGAGCGACAAGACTCGCCTTTGACTAC